GAGAGTATGTGGATCACATCAATCTGGACCGAAACTCCACTTTCACATAAAGAGGATGGGGTATTATTGGCCAACCATGGTGAAGGATTGCTTAGATTATGCTCGGAGGTGCGATGCTTGTCAATTTCATGCGAATTTTATACATCAGTCGCCCGAAGTATTGCACCCAACTATTGCATCTTGGCCATTTGACGCTTGGGGATTGGATGTTGTGGGACCCCTACCAAAATCTTCTAGTGGACACTTGTACATCTTGGCTACAACAGATTACTTCTCAAAATGGGTTGAAGTTGTCGCTCTTAAAGAAGTGAAAAAAGAGAATGTTGCAAATTTTATCCGAGTGAATATCATATATCGCTTTGGCATCCCTCGCTACATTATAACAGACAACGGCAATCCATTTGATAATAAGTTAATGAATAAAATTTGTGATCTCTTTAACTTCAAGCAGCGTAAATCTTCTATGTATCATGCTGCCGCCAATGGTCTTGCTGAAGCATTTAATAAAACTCTATGCAACCTCCTCAAGAAAGTTGTCTCCAAGTCCAATCGAGATTGGCATGAAAGAATGAAAGAAGCTTTGTGGGCATATAGAACGACATACCGCACTCCAACTCAAGCAACACCATATTCACTTGCTTTTGGAGTTGAAGCAGTCTTGCCACTTGAGCGTCAAATACCTTCCTTGAGACTTGCTATTCAAGAAGGTCTCACTGAAGAAGAAAATGCTCGACTTCGTCTTGCTGAGTTAGAAGCACTTGATGAAAAGAGGCTAGAAGCCCAACAAAACCTTGAATGTTATCAAGCTCGTTTATCTCGTGCTTTCAATAAGAAGGTTCGCTTGAGGTGCTTCCAAGTTGGAGACCAAGTTCTCGCAGTAAGAAGACCCATCATTACTTCGCACAAGTCTGGGGGCAAATTTACCTCAAAGTGGGATGGACCATATGTCGTACAAGAAGCATATTCACATGGTGCTTACAAGCTTGTTGATGCAGATGGCGTAAGGATCGATCCTATTAATGCAAAATTGCTAAAGAGGTACTACCCTTGAAGTAAAGATGATGCTCCTTAAGGTACGAGCCTAAACTGTATGTCACTCCTGTCCCGCAAGAGTATAAACTGTGTATGGCACAACAACAACAACAACAAAAAAACAAAAAAAAATCACTCAATCCCCCAGAACTATGTTGTGACTTGATCATCTTCACTGAGGTACGTAGACGCTTAGAATATATCCTAAGTTCAGTTGCATGAGTGTCAAAATACCACATATTCCCACTTAATCTGTCACATGACAGTCAAAGCGATAAGTATTTTATTTTATCTTTTTACTCATCAAACTTTAGACTTGTATGAAGTATTGATTGGTCAATAGATGGGGGGGTAAACCGTTAAAATAATATGAGTTTCATTAACAACATGCTTGAAGTTTCTTTAAAATTGAAGTCTTCAAATCTTCCGAGTATACAAGCTGAAGTCTTCAAATCATCCAAGAATACAGGCTAAAATCTTCAAATCTTCCAAGTATGCAAGTTGAAGTCTTTAAATCCTCTAGTTGAAGTCTTCAAATTCTTCAAGTCTGCAAGTTGAAGTCTTCAAATTCTTCAAGTCTGCAAGTTGAAGTCTTCAAATTCTTCAAGTCTGCAAGTTGAAGTCTTCAAATTCTTCAAGTCTGCAAGTTGAAATCTTCAAGTATGCATCTTCAAAGTCCTCCAAGTCTGCAAGTTGATGTCTTCAAATTCTTTAATTCTGGAAGTTGAAGTCTTCAAATTCTTCAAGTCTGCAAGTTAAAGTTTTCAAGTCTTCAAGTTGAAATCTTTAAGTCTACAAGTTGAAGTCTTCAAATTCTTTAAGTCTGCAAGTTGAAGTCTTCAAATTCTTCAAGTCTGCAAGTTGAAATATTCAAGTCTGCATCTTCAAAGTCCTCCAAGTCTACAAGTTGAAGTCTACAAATTCTTTAAGTCTACAAGTTGAAGTCTTCAAATTTTTCAAGTCTACAAGTTGAAGTCTTCAAATTCTTCGAGTCTGCAAGTTAAAGTCTTCAAATTCTTGAAGTCTGCAAGTTGAGGTCTTCAAATTCTTTAATTCTGCAAGTTGAAGTCTTCAAATTCTTCAGGTTTGCAAGTTGAAGTCTTGAAGTCTGCAAGTTGAAATCTTCAAATTCTTTAAGTCTGCAAGTTGAAGTCTTCGAATTCTTCAAGTCTGCAAGTTGAGGTCTCCAAATTCTTCAAGTCTGGAAGTTGAGGTCTTCAAATTCTTTAAGTCTGCAAGTTGAAGTGTTCAAATTATTCAAGTCTGAAAGTTGAAGTTTTCAAGTCTTGACACCATAAATTACCTTTCTTAGGCGGGATTTATATCTATCCGCTTTCGTCTTAAGAATACCATAAATTACCTTTCTTAGGGCGGGGATTTGTATCTATCCACTTTCGCCTTAAGAATACCATAAATTACCTTTCTCAGGGTGGGGATTTATATCTATCCGCTTTCGCTTTAAGAATACCATAAATAACCTTTCTTAGGGCGGGGATTTGTATCTATCCGCTTTCACCTTAAGTCATAACCTTTCTTGGGGAGGGGATTTATATCTATCTGTTTTCGCCTTAAGAATACCATAAATTACCTTTCTTAGGGCGGGAATTTATATCTATCCGCTTTCGCCTTAAGAATACCATAAATAGCCTTTCTTAGGGCAGGGATTTGTATCTATCCGCTTTCGCCTTAAGAATACCATAACCTTTCTTAGGGCGGGGATTTATATCTATCCGCTTTCGCCTTAAGAATATCATATGTATGACAGAATTTAAAGTTAACTTCGAAAAAATCACCTAGAAAGATTTTGGAGGTATTAAATCTTGAATTTCGGATATGTTGTAGACCAGTGTCTAGATTCTAAATAATCAAGCAACTTGTGATTTTGTTGTTCCTACATCAAGATACAAGAGTTTTAGTAAAGCCACACAAATCTGAAATTTTCAGTATGACAGAATTTAAAGTTAACTTCAAAAAATCATCTAGAAAGATTCTGAAGTCATTAAATCTTGAATTTCGGATATGTTGTAGACCTTTGCGTCTAGATTCGAAATAATCAAGTGTCTTGTGATTTCGTCGTTCCTACATTAAGATACGAGAGATTTAGTAAAGCCACACAACCCTGAAATTTTCAGCATGGCAGAATCTAGAGCTAACTTCAAAAAATCATCTAAAAAGATTCGGAAGGTATTAAATTCTGAATTTTGGATATGTTAGAGATCGAGAAGTCTAGTTTCAGGAAAATCAAACCGTTCATGATTTCAATTTTTCTACAATGAGATATGAATTTTCTATGACAGACGTGTCAAGCTGTAAATAAATAAAAAATGGCGAAATTCAGAAAATGGGAGGAAAATTACCTTGAATTATGCCCCTTTCATCATAGGCTTGTAGCTCATGGTCTGTAATTGAAGACAAAATTGTGGATATAATGTGTTTATTTATAGGTGTCATGTGATGGGAATAAAATCATTCTCCTAGTTCAATTACAATTCCTTTTTGATTAGGACAATAGAAAAGGACATGAATTTGAAATTGAGTGGAACTACAATTCCTAGTTCAACTACAATTTGAAAATTGTAACTTATATGGCGTCATAAAATAAGATTTTGAGTCGGTGATTTATCCTACTACAACTCCAATTTGGGATAAAATTTGCATCATAATATAAGATGCATATTTAATATGCTCACCTTCCACGACAACGTGACATGAGTCCTTCTCCTAGACCAATAGCAATTCCTTCTTTTTTGGGTTATGCTAAAGTAATTGACATAAATACTCTCCTGACCGAATTGGTTTTCCTATTGCTAGTGGCATGTTTGCCACGTAAGATTAAAGGGGTCACATGCCCACTCCAATTACATGTATTGGAGTCGAACAATAAATTAGAACATTGCATGGGTATGGTAAATAAATTACTATTTAATTAATACTTCAAGTCTAGTCTTCAGAAGATAAAATATCTCGACAAGACTTGAAGCAGGGGGCATTTGTAATCATTTAAAATTTATTTAAATATAAATTTATTAAAAT